TGAGGTGAAGAACAAGATAGTGCCCTTTCCCATTCCTTATACAAAAGCTAGCTGAACTATTTCTTCAACCCAAACAATGGAAGACCATCCAGTGCCATCCACAGCAGCTGTGTTTAGAAGCACAGAGCGGGACGCCTGGAATGCTGCTTTCCCCTCCAACAGCTGGCCACCACCTCCCAGGATCCTCTACCTGAAGTGGTGGCCCCACCTGGAGTGGGAAGGCGTGCACTGTCACTGCACACACACTCCTGCAGGTTGCACCAGCCCATGGTTGCCAACACCCAGAACAGCAAACCAGGGAGCAGCCTCTCTAGAAGGCTGAATGCTGCCCTTTGAGAGCTCCTGCCTAAAGGCAAGGCATTGTGAGGTAGCCTTGGAAAGACAGTCCCCCAGAATGAGAGCAAATGGATGGCCTGTCAAGAGAAGGGTGTGTTGATTGCTTTGTGTAACTGAGGTGGGTCTCTGCAGAGCCTGCCTGCTTGAGCTCCTGCTTTGGGAGAGTACTCATTGCAAGAGGTCAGGTATGGAACCTCTCCTTGGAGCAGCCCACCCAGCTCATAAGGTGAGAGCCAAGGAGTCCTGCTGGCCACTCTTCTACGGACACATCAGTTTCAGAGGAAAGCGGGACTGGTGCCGCAGCAGTGCTCCTGAGGAAGCCCTGTGTGAGTGTTTGTGTGTTTAGTAAGGCACCTGTTTCCTGAGAGAGGAGTCACCCTTTCCCATGGGAGGGCTGGCCCTAAGAAGTCCTTCTCTGAGACAGGACAGCATGGGAAACTCCACCTTTCAACTCCTGCTTTGGCTTCCTTCATCTCTGCCCTTCAACAAACCCTAAAGAGGAACTTCAAAACAGGTGATAGTGCAGGTGATCATGAGTGATCAGCACGATCTGGAGATGGATGGGATTCCTATGTGCAAGGAGTTGGCCCAGACCCTTCTGAACTAAAGTGATCTCACCTGCAGTAACGGTGCCCAGTTCTGGGTGTTGCATCTCTGGAAGGATGCACGGAATGTCACCAAGTTTCATTGACTGGCAGTTGTCATTGAACTGTGGGCTGTTTGGATGTGGGTTGTTGTCTTGTCTGAACCCAGCCTGCTAACAAGTCATGATTTGTTAACCCTGAAGAACCGATGAAAAGAATCCATGGTTTACTGTTGGATTGTGGACCATGGGTTGTTTACCAGTTTGCTATCTTGGCTGGGTTCAGGCAATGTAATAGCTCACATTCCAGCTAAACACCCATGGTTCAACACAACCCACATTCAACCCATACTCAACCCTTGACTGCACATTATCATGGTGTCTGAACCCAGTCTCTGTCTCTCTTAATCTGTCCCCCTCACCTGCTATGTGAGAATATTAAGACTGACTAGCAGGGTTGTTGTATGTAAAATAATTTGGACACCATTTCTATTTTTCAGTTTCTTTTCTGGACATGACTTCTGTTTTCTTAATATTCAGCTGCACTTCTGCCTTGCATTTTCTTCTTTCACTTTCATGAGGAGTCTTTTCAAGTCATTGCTGCTTTCTGCCAGTACTATGATACCATCTGTGTATCTTAAATTAATGGTGTCTTTTCCACCAATTTTCACTCCTTCCTCTGATTCTACTCCAAGTTCCTTATAATATGTTCCGCATGTTGTTGTTAGTCACGAAGTCGTGTCCAATCCATCTCGACCCCATGGACAACATACCTCCAGGCCTTTCTGTCCTCCACCATCCCCCGGAGTCCACTCAAGCTCACACCGACTGCTTCAGTGACTCCATCCAGCCACCTCATCCTCTGCTGTCCCCTCCTTCTTTTGCCATCTATTGTGCCCAGCATTAGGCTCTTCTCCAGGGAGTCCTTCCTTCTCATTAGGTGGCCAAAGTATTTGAGTTTCATCTTCATGTTCCACATACAGATAGGAAAATAAAGTACACCCTTGTCTGCCATGTTTGCCTATAGGAAACCATTCTGTTTCTCCAAATTTTGTTCCAACTGTAGCTTCTTGTCCATGATCCAGGTTCTAGATCAGGACAATCATGTGCTGAGGGCACACCCATTTCTTTTAGGACTATCCATAATTTGTCATCATCTACACAATCAACATTTTGCTGCAGTCTATAAAGTATAGACAGATCTTTTTCTGAAAAGCTTCATTGTGCTCTAGTAGCCAACATATATTCGCAATATGATCTCTCCTTTTAAGAACTCTGGGTCAGATGTCCAACATTTCTCACTCCCTATAAGGTAGAATTCTTCATTGGAACACTTTGAGCATCACTTGGCTTACATGGGAGATTCATGCAAAGGTCCTATGGTTGCTGCACTCTTTTGCACCTCCTTTTTGGGGATTGGAAAATATATTAATCATTTCTAGCCTGTGGGCCTTTGTTTTGTTTTCCATATTTTGCTGACATGTTTTTGTTAGGATTTAGCATGATTCATCTACTATAGCTTGGAATAGGTCTATTGAGAGTCCGTCTTCCCTGGGTTCTTTATCCTTTGCAAATGCTTTCAGAGCAGCTTTGACTTAGCTTTCTAATATTGCAGGCTCTTCTGCATAGGACTCTGCTTCAGAGAAGTCTGTCATCCTTTCATCTCTTCTGTATATTCTTCTGTATGTTCTTTCCACCCTTTTTTTTATCCTGGTCAGATAGCGTGTCTTCTTGTTTGTCTCTTAGCATTCCTAATATTGGTTTGAATGTCCCTTTGAAGAAAGAGGTCTTTTGTTTTACCTCTTTTGTTGGTCTCTTCCATTACTTCACAGCGTTCATTATAATCGTTCTTTTTATCTCTATGTGATAATCTCTGAGAAGTTGCATCCAGGATTCTGACCCTATTTTTGTCACCTTTTGCTTCTGCTTCTTGTCTGTCCTTTGCAACTGAGTGCTTCCTCTGTCATCAGTTTAGGATTTTTCTTTCTTGCTGTTACAGGAATTGTCTTTTGGCATCCTTCCCTAATAATATCTCTGGTTTCAGTCCACGGTTCTTCTGACTCACAGTCAATTAAGTGGAGCAATGTGATTCTCTTCTCTATGTGGACTTTAAATTCCTGGAGGACGTTACTTAAGTTATATTTTGGCACTATGTTTCTGTTGGTGATCTTTTTTAGCTTGACTCTAATTTTTGAAATTTGGACCTGTTGGTCACTACCACCATCTGCTCCTTGTCTTGTTTTGGCAGCAAGAATACAGTTTCTCCACCTTCTGTTTCCAATTACATAATCTATTTGATGTCTTTATTACCCATCTGGTGAAGTTCATGTATACAATTGTCTGAGCAGTTGCTAAAAGTGAGTGTTTGCAGTAAACAGGTTGCTGCTTTAACAAAATTTTATGATTCAATTCTTACCCCTAGGCCATTTTTTGACAACTTTTGATTCTGCTTTGTTTCTTGTTTTTGCATGCCAGTCACCTAGGATTAACAGCATGTCTTGTTTTGGTGTGTTATCAATTTCCTCTGCAATACCTACATAAAAGAAGGCTTGAATTCAGTTATGCTGATAGGTTTTCCATTAATTTTGATTGATATTATTTGGTCAAATTTTGCATTAAAGCCTCTCACTCCTTCTGCTGTATCTTGTCTCTGCCTTAAAGCCACTCCATTTCTTCTGAATTTGTCTTTTCCAGAGTAAACTCTCTGTGTTTGTCTGAATAGAAATGTCCCATTCCAGACCACTTCAGTCCACTCACACCAAGTACTATGATGTTCATTCTTTCCATTCCTTGCTTTATGATAAGTTTGCCTTGATGCCTACTTTGCATGTTCCCTGTTCCATTTGTAAGTAATGTGCAACATCAGACTTTCCTTTCACTTCTGGGCATGTTGGACCTAGCCTTCCTTTCAACTTTGATCTACTAGCATCATTCATGACAGCACTACCAGTATTTGTCTTTTGTCCTTCCCCATAGTCCATAAAGTGCCTTTTGACCTGGGGATCTCATCTTCAGGCACTATCTCTTGTTCGATATTGGATTGTTTCATCATAGGGCGTTCGAGGAAATAAAATTCAGAAGTGGATTACCACTTCCTCCTTCTGCACAGTACTACTTGAGCATCACTGCCACTTTCTGTGAAAGTTCCTCCACCAGAGCCACCTCAAGAAGCACTGCTGCCCAGTGGCTGTCTCGCAGAAGTTTCTCCATCCCCATAGCCATTAATGAGATCGATTCTCTTTGCTGATGTGGCTGTTACTCCTGAAGAGGGTGGATGCGTCTTAGACTGGTATCTCAGCCTTGACCATTCCACCCGGGGTGACCCTGCTAGTAAGATTATTCTGGCCTCCTGGTGGCATTGCTCTTGGATTCTTTGACACTCTTGACCCCCCTCACTCCATTAAGGTGTGCATCCAAGGGGGCTATTGCTATTATTAAGATTATTACTATTATTGCTGTTATTACTATTATACCATGCAAGAGCTGGAGCTCTTTGGGCAGTACAATTACCCAAAGCAGGACTTTATTTATTTATTTATTTATTTATTTATTTATTTATTTATTTAAAGTATTCATATGATGTCCTGTCACGAAAGCCTCAGGATGGCTGACATAGATTTAATACAATACAACCATTTTTTTTCCAAAGGACATGATTCAACATTTTTGCAAATACAATAATATTCAATACAGAATAAACATGATTAAAATCAGGCTATAAAATTCTGTTCCATCAGGCCATAAAATTCTATCTTTAAAGCCTCAGAACAGAGGCTGTTTGCATCTGGCACCAAAACAATGATAGAGTTAGTGCCAGGCAGGCCTCAGTGAGGAGAATACTTCATAGCAGGGGGCCACCACTGAGGGCACCCTGCCCTTCATTGCTACATTCCAAGCCTCCCTCAGAGGGAACCTTCCTTAGTGGAAGGCCTCAGATGTTGATCACAGAGAGGCACTATAGATTGCAGTTCAGAGAGGAGCTCCGTCAAATCTTGGAGTCCAATAATTTACTTTGCACACAGTTTTGTACCATTAGACAAGTAAGTGCTCACTTTACATTTTTTGTCTTCTTTCTTGCAAGCTTTGCAGCAAAGGTGCAGCTTTGGGGAAGCCCTTTGAAGCCTCTCCGAAAGATATTTCCAGTATTGCCAGTTTCATTGAGACAAAGCTAGTAATCTGCTATTTGAAGATGAGAAAGCCTGACCTTGCACTGAATCATTCTCACAGGTAAAGCAAAGCAAAACAAAAATGTCGATGCAAACTATCCCATGAAGGCTTCAAGTACATATTTTAAAGGTGTGCATGAAGATCAGGCTGTGCTCTGTGTCTGAGGGGTGGAGAGTGGAGGGGTGAATTGTTCAAGAGCTCACGTTTGATTTTACAGTCCAGAAAGTGTAGGCACTATGGAAACAGTACTGGCTGCCTGTTAGCTTCAGTCAAGCTGCTCGCATTCATCAATAACCTCGGCAATTTGCACGCACGGCTTTTCTCCCTGAGCCTTTTAACCTACCACTTTACTGAGGCTTCTCCTTCTGGACTCACTGCAAGATTTAGAGTGACTCCTTCGAGGCACAATCCAAACTCCTGCCCTTGCTGCATGCAGACCCCAGACTCAGAGGCTTCTGTGCATCCAATGGTCAGCGCAAGGCACTCGGATCCTCAGTCTCTGCTGTTGCCACACCTCAATCCATGTACTTGACATGGTTTGCTGCTGTTGCCCACCTGGATGCACTGAGGGAAGGGGAGAGAAGGAGGCTGGGGCACCAATAGGAATTGGTGATGTCCTCATCTTCCGGTCTCCTCTTGCCCTGGAGAGATGTTCCCAGTATTGCCCCAGTATCTTTTCTCACTCTCCAAAATGCACTTGTGTTCTCAGAGAGGAAGCCAGGGCACATCTTTCTGCTCCAGCTGTGAGGGCAGGAGAGGGGCTCAGCTATTGGAGTCCCATCACCAGGGTCACAAGACATTGGATCCTGAGCTCAGAATAATCCTCCGGACTCCAGGCAATGTCAGAGGCCACAAGAGTGTTCCCTGATCCATTTTTCTAGAGCTTTGCTTTTCCTGGCCCTCAACAGGTTTGGCCACCCAACCACCCGGTGGCATCCCAATGGCACACAAGAGTTCAATGCCACCATTCACAGATCATACCAGCCCTTCTTCTAAAACATGGGTCCTCAAACTACGGGCCGCAGGACAGATCTGGCCCGCCATGCCCATTCATCTGGCCCCCGCCGCCGCCCCCCGGACAGGCCGGAGGTGGTGGCTTGCTCACTTGGAGATGGTTTTGGACTCGCTGGGAGACCTCCGAGCGAGCGAGCCGCTGCCACCACATGCGCCCAACGCCACCTCGCACGCACCTGATGCCTCAGCAGCCCACGTGCCCAGCCCCCCACCCCACCACCCCGTGCGTGTAGCCGCTGCCTCTCAACTGGCTCCCTATTGAAAGTCCTGTTCTAAAAGAAGTGACAGGACAGGAGAGGCCTCAGAGGATAATGTGTCATATAAAGCACCCTCAAGCTACTGTGAATGGGGAACTGTGGGTAAGCAATAGATGCCTCATGCAGGGATGCTTCTAGTCCTTTGGGTTTATTTCGATAGAAGTCAACCAGCATGAATATTCCGAACAAGGAATGGATTCTAACCAAAAGCCCTACGTAGCAGGCGTGCAGCAGCATGTTCCTGCAACAAGCACATTGCATTTACCTCCTGCATAACTGTATTATTATTTGACTTTATTTTAATTATTTGACTCATATGCCACCCCACTAGCCCTAGGCTTTCCGGGTGGCTCGCAGCGTTAAATCCATCACAACACAACACAATGCAAAACACACATGACAAGGAACAATCAGTGCCAATAACACTAAAATCATAAAACTATAACAATTCAATAAAACCAAGATATGTAAAAATAAATACAATATGTAAATATAACGCAGAGATAAAGGCAAAAACCATTAAAATTAGCACTGAAACAGATTGGTAGCAGCACATTAGCATAAAAATAAAGTTAAAACATCAATAAAACAAGAGTCACCTATTCAAAATAACTATGGAACAGATGAGTCTTCAGTAGGCACCCAAAAGGCTAGTCGCCCACCGTATCTCCAATGGGACTGAGTTCCAGCGTGTGGGCGCGATCCTATTTTTATTTTTTCCTCTTGTGAGAAACCCAAGGCAGCTTACATAGCTCCACGTTATCCTCCCAACAACAGCCCTGTGATGAATGGGATGCCCAGACACACACAACACACACGGCCCAGTCATACCCACACACATGCCCCAGACACACACCCCATTGGTGTACACATATACCACTCAAACACACACACCACTCATATGGACAGAGCAAACCCCTCTTGGGCCTGCAGGAGTTTCTGCTTTTTTTGGTGGGGGGGCCTGTGTAGCTTGGTCACCAAATGCCTCCTTTGCATACCAAGGTCCCATTTTCATTCTCCAGTATGTCCAAGACTGAAAGCCTGCAGAGCTGCTGCCAGCCAGTCTCCAGTACTAGGCTAGATGGGCCAACTGTCTGGTGCCCAGTGACTCAGTTCAAGCAGCATAAGAAACCAAATTCAAGGGCTCAGTAAGGGTTGAGTGTGGGTCGTCATTGAACTTTGGGTGTTGTTGAAACGTGTTGGCATGTTGTCTGAACCCAGCCATGGCTTCTTCACCCCGAACAGTCCATAAGAAGAACGCTTTGTTGTTGTTGTTGGGTTCTGAACTGTGGGTTGTTCACCATAGCACAATAATTCATGGCCAAATGAGTATGAATTTTCATGTTGTCTGAACCCAGTCTTCATGAGGCAGCTTCCAATGTTCATACATTCTGTGTTTTCTAGGCACTGTCTGTGCCCCCTACTTTTTCTGGAAGGAAGAGTTGCTGCAGAGCCCCTGGGAAGCACCAGTTCAAACCTCCCAGAGAAGCTACGTAGGTGTGGTGCTTTCAGAGGGGTTTTACATCTACCCTCCTTGCCTGTCTTGGCAAGAGAAGAAAGTGGTACACTGAACCTCTTCTAGGAGGAGATATAGAGGAAGGCAACTATTCTTGGGTGGGAGCCCCAGGGTGCTGCAGGGAATCCAGCTTTGAACCTGGGGGTTCTTCACCCCAACTTGATAGCATAGCTTAAAGCAACAGTGTTGAACTGCTTTCAGTCTGAGGGTTTGAAGTAGCTCTCAGGGAATCAGTCCAGTGGTGGGACAGGGGCCAAAATACCAGGATATTTTAGCTTAAAGTTCTTACCACCAGTGACTAAATGCCCTCAAAAGAGGCATTTCAACCATTTGGAATATGTAGGCAGGACTACATCAAAGATGGGAAACCACCAAATGATCAGCTGGGGTGGGGAACAGTATGAGGCTGGTAGAAGAAAGAAGGGTTTGGCCTGGGATTCCATAGCCTGCCAAAAAGGTTTGGCCCTTTGATCATGGGTTGAAACTGTTGCACCAAAGGTATGGACTAGAATTTGTGGATGGAAATGCAGATTTCAGCAGTACAGTAGAAAATGCTTCCTAACAGAGCCATTCAACCATGGAAGAAGCTGCTTTTTTTTGGGGGGGGGTGGTATTTAACTATGTGTTCAAATGTACCTGATGGTTTTCTTTAATCAGCCACTGAACTATTTAACCACTTGTGTTCTGATAGCCCCAGATTTAGAATAGCATTTTCCATGGAGAATAAATGCTTCTGCTGATCCTGAAAATTCTCAGGATGTGAAGGCCTGCAATGGATGCCCACGTGCCTTCCTCAATGATTCTGTCTGGAATCTGGAAGCACCTCAAACCTGGAAACCTCCAGGAATGAGCAGGTGCATCATCCTCTGCTTTTTTAATTCTTTCCACTCTTAGTTCTGAGCACATGCTTTGCATGTTGAAAGTCTCAGGTCGAATCTTTGGCATGTCCAGGTAGGGAAGGAAAAGTCATTGCCTAAACTCTTACAGAAACCTCCGTGTTGGCACTACTGGGCTAGATGGATGAAGGCTTGTGCAGATGGGGTGAAAGTGACTATTTAATTCTAAAGTTATGACACAAATTAAGAGCATAACAATCCATTCCTGTTGACCGTGGCTAAAACTGTTGCTACCAGATACTAAAAAAAGAAGTTTAATAATTGAGCACGGTTGCATAAGACTTTAGACAGAGGATAAAGCTCATTTCATTCTTTTACACAAGAGGCCTTCTGGAAGATGAATGGCTGCCTTATGTTGGTCATTGTTTCTTAATTACTAGGGTAGGAAATATTGCACAAATTACTCAAGTGCTCCTTTTATTAACTTATATGTAGTTGTGTGAGCCACATTTCTGATGATAATGTTTGCTATGCATTATGTTCATAATGCGGTATCAAGGTTTGTGGCAACACTTGCACAAGAAAAATAACACGTCTGCAGTGCGCTTAATAAAATTGTTCGCTGCAATGAAATACAGTATTAAAGCCCCAGTATGTATTGGGGAGCTGCCCTTTCAGGCCCTATCCTGCACTTTTAATGCACTGTTTCCCAGAGCTCTGATGCTTGTAGGACACTTCTTTTGGTTATTTTCCCAAGCAAAATTAATTCCCCCAGGCACATTTCACTCTTGCATCCAAACACAGGCAAAACTTTTAAGACCAAACTAAACATTCTGTTAATTACATGAATGCAATTAGCATTTGTTTTAAAAGAAAAGGTGCTTGTGGGCTTAAGCCACACCAGGATCACAGCAGATGTGGAGGAAAAGCTTAACCCTTCCTTTCTTCTGAAGTCTCAGTAGAAATCTCTCCCTTGAAGCTGTTCTTTGCATAAGGAAGGAATCCTGCATTGGGAGTTAGGTGCAGTAATAACCATCAACTACAGATTTGAATGCACGAGCAGAGTCCCCAGCACTGCTGTCGATAATCTGGCAACTCGTTTCTCACCCCAAACTGTGCACGGGGGCTATTTCAGATCCATTCTACCCCACCTCTTCTTTGGCACTGCACAGGCCTCGATCTTCAATGTTTAGGTTGAGCACAATATGAGGTACCACCTAGGAGTTCCACCTGCTCCCATGTGAGGTTGCCTACTCATTAAGATCTTCAGAGAAGGCATCCCCAGTGTTCCGCATAGCGTGGCTATGTGGCCTACTTTGCAGGGAAAGGTTCTCTGCCTGAGTGCTGGACCAGTGCAAGTCTGGTTTAAAAATAAAGAACCCAAAGAAGCAGTGGCATTGGAGCTGCCAGTCCAGAATTAGCAACCAAACAGCAGAC